ACCTATGAGGAACCCCTTCATCTGCTCCTAGGAAGATGGTATAAGAATGTTCATTTATGGCAATGACAACAATGGAAACAACCCAAGTGCCCAATGATAAGAAAATAAACATGTGCTCTTGAAATTTACGAAGCTTTCCAATGAATTAATTATAACTACAAACAAATATCTGGAAAAAACGAATCTTAAATGAAAATGAGCACGTCTCAGAAGATTATATAAAACTTGATACTCTCTTAGTAATGTTCATTTAAAAAAGAAATCTAAATGATTATTAAGAACAAAAAGAACAAGGGAATGGTGGCCTCAGTATTCAGCCCTGTAGTTATGTTGAGTAAGGGAAGGTGGGGGAAGGTGGGGGAAGGAGGAGGAAGGAGGGGGAAGGAGGCTACAGTTAAATGTTAGCTGTTGCCAACGTTCTGGTTCTTGGGTTGATTGGTGGTTTCAGACATTAAACCCACCTGCTTCAAGACCATTATTTCATATTCCTCCCTCTGCATGGAGAGAAGACTTGTAGGAGACAGACTCAAGGTGATTTAAAGGATGAGCTGGATTCAGGGTCATGTCTCAGTTTTGCATTCCCAGGGCCTATGTGCAGTGTCCAGCAAAACACAAACCCTCAGTGAGATTTCTTGAATGAATAAATAAATGAGAGAAAAATGTAAAGTGATTTTGGTTAATATTGAGTATAGTCTAAATAAGCACTCATACTTTTACCCTCTCCCTACACATGTTGAATGATGTAACTGATTTCCTAATTAGGTGAAAATAAAAGACTAACATTCTCCCAGAGTAGTAAACAACCATAGAGTATTTTCCATATAGATTATTCCATAACACTCGTAACACTGGGTTGTGTAGGGAGAAAATGATTTCAACTCAAATATAGTACAGAAAAAGCTTTTTAATGCACTTTTCAGGCAAAAGAGCTTCAGAAAACATCCACCATTAAGTAGTTTCACAAATGGCACTTTTGGCTACATTAGAGAATTAGAGATGAGTCTCATGTGTTTTCTCTGATAGTTTCGTAGTAGATCAGCTTTATAATGAAACCCCTTTTTTTAGGATAAAAAATAGCTAATCTGTTCTAAAAGACAAGAAAAGCTGAAACCCTAAAGTCATTGTTTTAAAAATTTAACATTTATTTCATGCTATTTTACCTATTTTCATTTGATAACTTTAACTATTATGCTACAATTTTTAAGAAAGGGAGAACATAAATTTCAACCTAATTTTAAAATAAACATATATATTAAGTACATATATTAATGCATTTGACAATACTATATGCTAACTTTGATGATGATCTTCATTTTGATACACTGCATATTTGCTCTTTTGGTATTGAACTGAGGAAAAACATACCTGAAATTCTGACTTAAATGAGTAATACCGTAGCCAATGATATCAATAGACTCTAACCAATTAGTGAAACTGAAAAGTTATTCTGATCATTTTGTATGAAAATAAAACAGGATTAATACTCAGTAGGAGAGAATAGGTAAAATATCAGTTTAGAATAGGTCTTGAAAGTCGATTATTTTCAGAGCATATTTGAAACAAATGAATAGCTAAAAATGTGAGACTCCATTTTGAACTGAAAGCAATGATTTTTAAATTATTAATTGCTATCACGCCAACACATTTACCTTTTTTAAGACAGAGTAAAGTTGATCACGTCTAATCTACTCAAACATGGATATCTTCTTCATGTTACCTACCCATTATTTCTCAACTAGTCCCCTTATCAATTTATATAATTATTTAACAGAGATTAATACTAAAACACCAGCAATAGGGCCAACCAAAAGGCAAACTGCATTTTTCTTTCTACAGCAGAATTAACAAACGTGGCTTTCAAATTTGCACTGATAGCATATACTATGCTAATCAAGAAACAAAAAAAAACTATTACCATCTCCATCACAAAAACATACACATTACACAAACACCTGTTTTCTCTGGTAACAAAGAAAGCCATTTCAGGGATTCTCCATGAGTGAAAACTCCCACGCAATATACTGCCACACACAGACACATAAACACGAAATCAGAAACTTTCAGGAATACTGCTTACTGTTAATTTAGAAAAATTCTTGGTATTACAATTAGGAATGGAGTTTCTAAATGTTAAAGCAGTTCAACTGTTGAAATATCACACAAAATACTGATTTTTTTTAATAATATGATTTAACAACCCAAGCCCTGAGTCAATTAAAATATATACCCTTAACCTTCACAGGTACACGGCACCATCTGTATTCTATAGTATCCCAAAGCCAAAGGCCTGTTTTCACTGAATTACCCTAAACTGCATAAGACTATGTTGTAAAGG